CACTTGTTTACTTCATTAAACATTTCAAACATTACTTGCTTGGACGGGAATTCATTCTGAGGACAGATCATGGATCACTTGTGTAGCTACATAAGTTTAAAGAACCTGATGGACAGATCGCTCGTTGGCTTCAACAACTAGCTTCATATACGTTTCAAATTCAGCATAGACCTGGAAAACGCCATGGAAACGCAGACGGATTAACTAGGATTAATACCCAGAATGGGCAATGTAAACAGTGCAAAATGAATGTGACAGAGGAGTCAAGTGATACAAAATATTATCACATAGAGGACTTGCGGAAATTAGCTAACAGTGAAGATCACGAGTCTTGTAATTACGTGTGTGACATTAAAACCCTATTTCCAGAAACGGATCAGGAAACGAATCTGTGCTATATAAGTGATAATTCGCCACCTCACAGGACCTCGAAACGTATTCCAAATCGACCTGTACAAGCTAAACCTAGGAAACAACCTGAAACATCGTTGTGTTTAGACAATATTAGAGAACTTCAGTTGACTGATGACGATATATCACCATTTCTTAAGTGGAAAGAAGACCCGGATTTTCCAAAACCAGCAATAGAATCAGTGTCAAGTCTTGGTTTTGAGAGCAAATTTCTATATTCACGATGGGAATTACTGACTGTAAACCAAGGTGTTTTGTGTATTAAATTGATTGAGGACAGCAAAGAACACTTAAGAATCGTAGTGCCTCGGAAATTACGGGATGCTGTAATGTGGAATTTCCATGATGCTGTGACAGCTGGACACTTAGGAGTAAGACGCACATATGAAAAACTTAACAGAAGCAATTATTACTGGCCTCATTTACGGAGATATGTTCAGGATTATATTTCTTCGTGTGATATTTGTGAGGAACGGAAAAATCCATACAGGAAGAAAAGGAGCTATATGAAAACTTATATGAGTGGTGTTAAATTCGAAAGAGTTGATGTGGATATAGCTGGACCGTTTCCGAAATCAGCAAATGGATTCGTATATATTCTAGTGCTTTCGGATTACTTTACTAAATTCATGGAAGTATTTCCCCTTAGGAACATTGAAGCCGAAACAGTAGCCGAAACTATGTTTAGAGGATGGATTAAACGCTACGGATACCCCCAAGAAATACACTCAGACCAAGGTGCCCAATTTGAGAGTCAGTTATTTCGGGAAATGTGCAAATTCCTGCAAATCAACAAAACACGCACCACGTCTTATCATCCGCAATCGGATGGAATGATTGAAAGACTAAACAGGACCATCAAAGATATGCTATCTAAGTAAATTACAGCGAATCAAACAGACTGGGATAAATTCATAGATGGTATTGTGTTTGCTTATAATAGCACTGTACATGAATCAACTGGACTAACACCGTACAGAATGGTATTCGGCGAAGAAATGACTCTTCCAGTGAATCTAATGACAGAAAATTTGGATAGTGACGAAGAGAGAATGTTCGGAAATACAGCGGAATATGTGCGTAATCTAGAGAAAAATCTGTGTGAAATGTATGACATTGTGAGAACTACAACGAATCAAAGTTCTGAGAGACAAAAACGAGCTTATGATCGGAATGTTCGTTCTATTAATTATGAAGTTGGAGATTTAGTTCGCCGGAGCCAGCCTAAAGTTGCTGTCGGATGTAAAACTAAACTAGCCCGAAAATGGACAGGACCTTGGATTGTTGTCAAAAGACTCAGTGATGTTTTATTCCAAATAAAACATTCAGAGAAATCAAAACCAGTAGTCGTCCATTCAGACAATATCAAACTGTATCGAGGGAATAAACAATACCCGTCAAAACAAAGCCCAGAATACACGCGTGACCAGCCGGAGAGAGCATCCGCTACGCATCGCCGCGCTCGATTCAGCAGACGGAAGCAAAACGCTTTGAAGACGCCGCCAGTACGTCGCAGACGCCAGACTTCAGTCACCAGCCGCCAGCCAATCAGATTCCGAGTTGGAGAATGACACGCCCCAGATTCCCCCGACCTAGACAACCAGGCACGGGAGGATTATAAAAAGACCGCTTCGCTTCAGAGACAACCATTTGTAATTATATAAGTAAATATGCGTTGTGATATCTGTGGGAAAATATTTTCAAGAGCCAGCAACCTTAACTTACACGTGAAAGAACAACATGCATCTGATCTTGAGTGTTTAAAGTGTAACTTTTGCCAGAGGACATTTACCAGAATCTATAACTTACGGAGACACTACAGACTTGTTCACAAACTAGATGGGACCACATTGAGTGAAGCCATGGATCGGAAACGATATTCGGTGAAAAGACAAAGTTACGAAGAGGCTCAGAAACCTGTGTACGTTTTAAGTGAACAGTACGAGAACATTTCCTCCGACGAAGAATTTACCATAGAGAATGACAGAGATGAACAGCCAAAACAGCAAAGTGAGCTAGATTTCTTAGAAGATATTTCGTTGGATTCGGGTGATATACCATCAGACGACCTTGTGAGGGACTTGTTGGACGCCAGGAACCTAACTCGACCCGAGGAGGACATAGACGGTGAGGGACGAAGTGAAACCCCCGAGAGTCGCGTGGATTACGAGACCATGTCCGAGCGTGAAGAAAGTGACAATGTACACAATAATGTGACGCAAGTTAAATCAACAATTTGTTTGATTCTTAATAAAGTGACCACTACTTTTCCTGATGGAAAAATTGAAGTTAGTAGGGATTTGCAAATCTTATTTTCCGAAGGCATTGCTCCGGAAAACGTGGACTTTAATTCTGTGGCCAGTGAAGTGTTCGAGGAAGTGCAGGAACATTTCCGATAAGGGAACACGCGGGTAATGAGAGGAGACTTTTCTATGTAAATGTGACTTTGTAAATATCAACTTGTATATATTTATTTGATTTTGTTTTATATGCTATTGATTGGGCAGCACTGATAATTATTTCTAAATACTTCATATTTATTCTTTTGTACGGAACCAAAAGCTAAGAAGGGGGAAGTTGTAAAGTCGTGATTTAATGTTATATTATTTTAATTATCTGTAATTATTCTTAATTGTTTCATTTAGAGCCCTATGTTAGATTATGTTTATTTATAGTACGGATACCCGTTGCTCCTTGTGAGCAGCGGCTGTGTAACTTATGTAACTGACCCAGTTAAGAGCGTTGCTCTTCGTGAGCAACCTACATTATATATATACATGGGAAAGAAAGTTTCTGGGTAGAATAAAATAGTAGAAGCATAGGAGAAGTATAATAGATAGAGATGGAGTTTATTTAATTTGGTCAGTGCTGTTCAAGGATATTTTATTTTGTGCATTTTGTTGGACTATTAAAATTTGAGATCATGTAAATAAATTGTAAAACGATAACCAGGTGTTTTCACCGAAGCAACACTTCATTGAGGAAGCATGGATTAATTATTAACTTAATTCCACTGGATTAAAATATTGTGTGCCGTTTACCGCTCGACGGCGCTACAACTACACTCAGAGGCACCACCCCTCGAAAATCTCAAACTTTCAACGATATCCGCTAAACTACTAAATATGATTTTTTGTACACATGCAGCTATTGTCCCTACTATTTTGAAAAGTGCTGGGAGCAAGTTGTGCGTTGATGATTTTTTTCTGTAATTCTACATTATTTCAATGCATATAGTGTAACTGCATGAAGTTTATTAAAAGATGGCTTAATTTTATATAATTCCCAAGCATTGAGAAGTTGCTCCCAGCACTTTTCGGGTTAAAAAAAATTGTCTTTAAGAAAACTCAATCAACTTGGTGAAAAATATATCGTTGAACTTTTACGATATTTATATCCGTACATATTTTTTTTTCAAATTTTAACCATGTCACGTGACAAACAGCTGATGTAAGTTAAGTCGCTTTGGTAGAACTCGGCTGAGACCCCATACATGCATATGCATTAGTACAATTCCCCATAAATTAAAACTTTTGCTAATGAAAAAAAAATCAAAATTATATTGATTTTCTCTCAACATTTTAAAGCACATTTCCTATGGGCGTCCTTGACCTAGCTGCGCAGTCTTAAATGCTTGGTAGATTAAGAAATTTTTTCTCGTCCTTAGTATTTAAAATGACTAAAACAGTTTCTCTATGTATGTGTGAATAACAGTAAAAGTAAAATAAAACAAATAAAAGACAGGGCTAAGAAATGGGCAAGAGGTCCATTGTGCAACTCCAGTAGAGAAAACAGACGAAAACCCCATCGAAATATAGCGTTTTAAAATAACTATTATTTAATACCTGTACTTGCATATACTCTGTTTACATATTTTAATGTTTGATCATATCTTAGTAATTAAGATATTTCACATTTATAACTATAACCGTTTCGTGTAATTTAAGAATTTGATTCTGGTAATTGAAATATTTCCTTTAAAAAATTAAATTGTTGACATGTATTTTTTGATGTTGCAGATTGCTTCGGGTGTTAGAAAACGATATCACTTAAAATCTACAACTCAAAAAGTTTTCAAGTAAACATAATTAAACTTTGTAATTTATCTGCCAAGAACACGCTTTATCAACCCTGAAAATTGTATTTAGATACATAAATTTCTTTCAATGATATGAGCTCAGTCTACGGAATTTTGGGACAACCCTCGTATAGCTGTACAAATTAATGCTATATATAAAGTAAAATTAAGATGTTTATTTTAAGGGGCTAATTGAGCCACTTACCATATATTGCTCTTTGTACGACTAATTTAAGTTGTTTATTATATCAAATATTATCTTATAATGGTAAAATTGCATTGAGAAACATATAACTATCATCTAAAAGAATCACAATTTATGACTCTATGTAAAATATAAACAAAAAAATACTAGTTAAACTATAAGGTACAAAATGTATCAATACAAGAAATCTAAGAAATTATTATCATTAGCAAGATCAATAATGTTACCATGTGTTATTTTTATGATAACAAGAATAATTCAAACAATGCATTTTTTTCGTATTTTGGTTTATGAGAGGATACGTACATATTCGGACATGACGATTCGGCAAGAAAACATTGATCTTCAGTATTGATGCTTTGACAGGCGGGATCTAAATACATCAATTGATAAATGGATGAAAATTGAATAAATGTATCAATAAATAAAATTTAAAAAATGAAATTTTGTTTTCATTTGATAGCAAGTATTGTCTCTTTATGAAATTACATTTTTAAAACAATGATCTTACACTGGTATATTGTATTGCTTTGATAATCTTCGTCAGGACAACCTGATGAAAATCCAAGACAATCGACGTAATACAGTTTTTCTCCGTCAGTTTCCAAACAGTTGCCTTAAAAATGAGTGGAAAAGTAACACGTGTGTAAAATTCCAAAGCATGGAACAGACTATTTCAAAGCTGTATAATTTATTTAAGAACCGATTGAATGCTTTATAATCAGCATTTCATGCAGAAAAAATATATAGTGAATTATCTTCAAACAAAATTTCATCGAAATATTTGAGCTTTTGGTTGAATCTTTAAAGAGTTCTCAAGAACCACTGCACCAAAAAAAATATTTATACTTCAACGATAGGTTCATGAAAGATTGTACTATCAAGTTTAATCAAATCAAGGTATGGCAGGACCACGATTGCAATGAACGATCTGATTTTGCATAGATATTTTGAATATCTTTTTCACATTTTTGATTTCTTCTCAAGAACTACTGGGCCATTTTCAACCAAACTTGGCTCACAGTATTCTTAGATAAAGGGAATTCATGTTTGTTTAAATGAAGGGTCACACCCATGTTCAAAGGGAAAATTTGATTGTATGTTTTCAGAAATCTTCTTCTCAAGAATAACTGTTCCAGGAAGGATGAAATTTCTTGAGAATTATCCTCAGGTATTGTCTATTCAAGTTTGTTCAAACAATGATCCCCAGGGGTAGAGGGGGGCACAATTGCCAATCGAAGTTTTACATAGAAATACAGCAAAACTTGGTTATAATGAAGTTACCGTGACCTTTGAAAACACTTCGTTTTATCCGTAATTCGCTATAGCCGTATAGGAATTTTATTAAATTCATATAGCTTGTGATCCAAGATGACTTTCGCTATATCCGTAACTTTGCAATATCCGTGTTCGTACTAAACGAGTTTGCTGTATATAGGAATTTAAAAAAATCTTCTGAAGAACCACTGTCTAGGAAAGATGAAACTTTGATGGAAGCATCCTCAGGTAGGGTATATTTAAGTTCTCTAAAACCTTGACCCAGGGGTATGAGGGGACCACAGCGGCCGATAAAAGTTTAACATAAATATATATAGGGAAATTCTTTAAAAATCTACTTCTATGGAATAGCAAAGGCATGAATATTATTATGGAAGCATCCGCAGGTATTGGACATTCATTTTTGTTCAAATTATGACTCCTGGGCTAGGGTGTGGTGACACCATGGAATCCAAGTCTTACATAGAAACATGTTGAACATATCATTAAAAATCTTCTTTTCAAGAAAAGCGAAACCATGATATTAGTCCTATTCATATGGACGCTTTCTGAGGTAGTGTAGATTCAATTTTGTTTAAGTTATGACAACTGGGGTTAGGGTGGGGCCACAATGTTAATTCAAATGTAAAGGCAAGAAAGCAAGAAGTAGTCAACGAAATATGCAAGCACTCTTAGTTAGTGTAGATTCAAGTTTGTTCAAATTACACCCTCTCCCCTTTAAGGATTGGTTTGAACCACTACAAACACATGTATTAGGTTTTAACTTTTCAATAATGAACTGATTTATGCATTTTTCCTAGCCACATTACTCAGATTAGCGATGAGGCACATGAACCACTTGTATGCTTAATATCCTAATATTAATTAGATTCAAGTTTGTTCAATGCATGAGCTCAAGGGTAGAAAAGGGTCTCAATGGATGATCAAAGTTTTACATAGAAACATATAGTGAAAATCTTACAAAATTTTCCCCAGGAACATACAATATGATTAGTCATATTTATATAAAAACACCCTGAGATGGTGTTAATTTTATTTTGTACAAACAATGCATTGCCCGGGATAAATATTTGACCACAATTGACAATTAAGTTTAACATATGGAATCATAGGATTCAATCAAATGATTTAAAAATCGTCTTCTCGGGAATAGAAAAGCCGTGGTAGCCTTTTTTCAATTTATTTCGGAGCAACCTTTGAAAATGTAAAATCAAATTGTTCTAACCGTAACCCCGGGGAAGGTCGGGATAACAATAAAGACTTAACAGAGGAAAAGCCCAGTTTGTCAAAGAAATATGCTAGCATACTTGTTAAGTGTAGACTGTAGATTTTTTCAAATCATATCCACTATACCACCTTTTCCCCTTCCTGGCCCGGTCGGGACCACTTATGCATTTAAGCTTCTTCAATGCTGAAATGGTTACTGCCTTTTTTATTAGCCACAGTGCTCAGATGAGCGATGTTGCTAAGCTTTTTGAGTCATATAATCTGACACAAAGTATTGAATTATTCATGTTATTACTGTTTATTTATCTATGACGTGCTCTATTTCTAAACACGAACTGAAAATGCTGATGTGATGACTTTGCTATCTCGCATTTTTATCTCCTGGACTACATGCATATCTTAAAATTTATTTTTTAATAAACGAGTAAATCCCCCCTTTTCATTTATACAAAAAAACATACTTTGTAAATGTGATATTTGTAAATCAAATGCCTGTCGATATTGTTTTCGTAATATTTAGTTACTTTGGCTAAAGAAGAGGCTTCGACGAATGTTTTCTAAAATATGTTGTTCTGAAATGCTTTAGCAACATTAAAGTCGTGTTAATATACCATAATCTTAAGAATATATTGACTAAAAATCAGTGTCCATTCTCTTTTAAAACTTCTGATACCAGACTACTCACCCCTTTCTATAAATTTCATGACTCCTCTGAAACACAGCTCTAGAAGTCCAGTTTTGTTGGAATTTGGGACACAGATGTACTGATTGTTTCCATATATGTCCTGTCCACAACCCAAACTGGTGGAGGATTCTTCCACCTCTCTAATATTCCGAGGGCATGATTCCAAAAACGTTTCCATTTCTACGGAGAAAAATATTAAAATTACTAAGGAACTGAAAGTAGCAAAAAATGAACAATTTGTACATTGTAATTGTTTAGCTGAAGAGTGATCAAACATATCAGAGTAAATGTTGCAGGTATTATATAATGATTATGTTGTTTTTATCTGTTTGAAACACTGCATTATGATTTCGACAAAAAAATCAACATCCCCTTAAATATATATTTTAATGCAACCTATCTTAAAGTCGTACTTTGGGTGTCATGTTTCATCCCAAATGTAGAAAAAAAATACATCATTGCTCTGTTGACCATGGACTAATCTCATAACCTTATTAATGATGATAATGTTTAAACGATTGATATATGCTCCTGACTTTTACATCAATAAGGATGATGCTTTAATGATAAATGTCTGTTCCAGACTTTTACCTTTTCCATACTCAAATTTAAAATAACATTGAAGAACATGCTATTACTACGTGACTACTACTAAGTTCTATTCCAATAACAACTTTTAAAAAGTGGATATAATTCAATCAAAATATATAAATAGATAGTGTCTTTTTACTGCATGGTTCAAAACAAAAAAGCATTCCTAAAGCCCCTTTCACAATTGGCGCACGAGCAGAGGTGACAAAATATTCGTGCGACCGAGGAATTTTGTTTAGGATCGTAAACTGTTGCCAAAATAATCGCATATGATAAAAGTCTTCGTACGGAATTCGCGCGATCTACAGCGACTGTTGTGCATTAAATCCCGCGATCTATCTTGCGTCTATATGCGACTGTTGTAGAATGAAAGCGAGTGTTGTAAGATAACGCGATAGGATTGCACAAGTGATCAGCTAATCGGACGATTTAAAGTGCGACAATACGATTGGACGTGCGGTGCTCGTGCGCTCATGCAGTCCATAGTACGAAAGTTCGTGCTAGTCAGAGGGCCTAGCATGTATACTACCCGTTTCCGAGTTCTTCAGTTGACAAAATTGAGATGTTTATAATTATACACGGTATATAAATACCTGTTGCAAAGCATGGCAATTAAAGGTGATTAATCTAGCAATGATAGTAAAACGTTGCAAGATTATATAAGACATGTTGAGCAACAGTCTCATGTTCGCAAAACACACGCAAATACAGCTGCGATTCATCTTGCGATCTTTAAAAATCGTACATCACTCTTACGAGTACATAAAACGTTGTAAGACGTTCGTACTAATATTCGTGCAATGAATTGGGATAATTTTGATCGCATTTGGTCGCATCTGAATAGTGTGCATGTTGACTATTTTGAGGAGACTTGATGCGACCTCTAAAACACAGGCAATGAGTGCGAGACATCGTGCAACGTATGCGAGAGCTCGTGCGAAGCTAAAATTTTCGGATCGCAAAGTGTTGTAAAGTGCTCGTGCGCCAATTGTGAAAGGGCCTTAAACGTAAAAGTCAATATGTTAAGAAAATCGTATGATCATGTCCATACAGGGTACTTGATATATTTTCTACAAGTTAACCACAGCGTTTCTACTAATAGTCTCTATCTTGGCTCAAATTCAGAATAGGCCTGAAAACGGACTTTCCTTGACCTGGCCAGTGCTATTGAATGGATTCGAAAAAAAAGTTATATAATTACATGTACTCTGCAAATCTGTCAGAACGTATAGGTCTTGTGTTTTAACAAGTTTTGTTGAGTTTTATCAAAGTCGTTATTTCAATAGTTTGATGCTTAACTAGCTAAAGTATTTCGAGATCTAGCCCCAGTTTACAGGGTTGTTATCGTTAAGACATCGTGTATTCTTAGTGCTTAATGCGCTCCATAATAAAAATATGGCAGTCGGTATTTTGAAAATTCCCAGTCAATCAGAAATATCAATTAATGTCTTTCGACATCATCTTTTGTTTGTTTTTTCACATTAGAATGTTTCTTTTGCATAATTAATAACGTATCTGTGTTCAACCTACTGGATCAAAGACGCCTTATGCACTATTCATAAAACGAAAGTTGATCATTTTAAATGGAATAAGGACTTAATTTATTACAATCTGCCGAAGACTACCATCATTTCTTATGCCAATATCAATAATGTAATATTTACCTTTTAAAAATATCCTTGATCCATCACATCCTTTTCAGTTTTCATATTCAGTGCAAAATAAGGAGTGAATTCGTTGCGGTTTGAGTACATTAAACCCGATCTAAATATCCGGGCTACCTGTTTATAAATACACCTGCCTTAATGTCATATCGAGAAAAAAACCAAAACGACCAACGCGTAAACACACGAAATACTCATTTATGGGCGCCTATTTTCATGCATAAAACTCCAATATATTTGACTAGCACCGCAAAGACATTTTAAGAGCGATTAAACCAATCTAAATTTAAACTCATTCAATACATGTAAGAGTTTTTTTTTTAGTCTTTACATATTTTTGAACTCTGTTCTTAAAAGTCCTTCCATCTTCTTAAAACTCTGTATTTTATTAAGTGAAGTTTTCAGTGATATTGAGTCGCGTACGTCAATACTTTCCGGAGTCTGTTTGCAAACATAATTCTATGATAGACTTACAAAAGACACTATATGATGTTAAGCATCGATGGATCATTTTCTAGCTATCTTCTACTGAAAAATGGGACATTCTTTTATACGGTATAAATTGAAAAACATGTTTTATGTCCTGCTGTGTCCTTTAATTGAAATGTAATAATAAGAAATAGAAGTTGGTTAGACGTTACACGCAATGTTGGTGCACGGTTTTAATTTCAGTATCTGAATTAATGCTAGCAACCTTATTGGTGATTATTTAAGGCATCACTTTCTAGTTATGAGAGTATGCAAGGGCATCAACAATAGTGGGAAACATGGGATAATTGAAAATATCCCATGTTTCCTACTTTTGTTGATGTCCTTGGCGTACTCTCCTAACTATAAAGTGATTCCCTATATTCGTGTTATGTATGTAAAAGGGTGATATTTCTATATATTTTGAATAATAAATGATCTTATAGGAATATTGTGTTTCTTGATTTTATTATTATTTCACTTGATCATCATGTACATCATTTACAACATTATCATCATTTTGTGTATATTTGAATTGAAACACAGTTGGATACACATTCCTGTATTGCCCTATTCTCCCTTGGTTCTTTTATTGTGCTACACATTGATCATTAGTTGACTTGTTCAATTAATGCCTATGGCTATTTAACCTAAGTGGTCATTTTCAGACATGTGATTCATGTCATGTGGTTTTAGGAGCCAATAGATTTACATTATGTAGTTTCCCGCATTTGGTGAACTGCCTTTGTTCATTACAAAGTTAGACTCCTTAGAGGAAAGTTATATATACCTATGTGTTTATCAAATTGAATGTATCTATATGGAGTCTGCCATATTTGAATGACCAGATATACTGACTACTGACAGATAGTAGGTACACTCTATATTTTATTATTTTCTTAATTAATATCTTATTGAATATTTCTGAAAATTATCTAATTTATGCATTTTCTATCATTCATGAGTAAATTCAGTTGATTTGATTGTAAGGTATCTTTCTCTTACTTTTATAATTTGATCTTGGTAATTCATAAATATCAGTTATCAATTTCATTGATGTGACCTGATTATTTATTTTGAAGTGATATGGTTGAATTATTATTTACAGTTGATATGTAATACACCAGACATATTCAGAGAACTATGTTGAGTTAGCCTTGTTCAATAAACAGGTGATTAGTTGATAATCATATGTTTTTATCATAGATAAATGTAACATGAAATAGTTGCATTGGAATGTATATATTTAATCAGTAATATTGTGCATGCATAATGTTCATTATCAGAATTAATGATTTTATATTTTATGCAGTCAAGGGAAATAACTTGTAAAGTAATTTGAACTTATGAAGATAGTGCAAGAGTTATCTTTCTTATATTTTGCATATATTCCCTTGCAAGCTTATTGTTAAATTTTATGCTTACTATTGCTTATTCTTATTACAGGGCTATACTATACTACTACCACTATATTACTAACTTCATCCGTATATATGTCATTATATCGATTCATCCATATCAACACTTGAAAGATGTTATAAATGATGAACCCACAAGTGGCGAATTTTTATTTATAAGTAAAGGACCACTATTACATGTACACAGTTTTTGTAAACATGGCTCGAGTTCTGTTATTGTTTATATCTAGAATATTCAATCGTCACAGTCTGCTTACCACAACTGCACGGACTGACAATTTATTGTGTGTTTGTTTTGCTTTCGGACGTGTCTACTCTGATTTTTTTAGATTATAGTATTAATATTTTTCATTTATACAAAATGAGATTGCCACGTTTCCTAAGGATTAAGAATAAAATGAAATTTGTGAGAGTGCAAGGATATGTCAATCAAACCGGCCGAAAAATTTGAAATTTCAATATATTTTAAACGAAATAACATTTTTAATTAATGTTTGTGTGAAATGTTATTAAAATATATGAGTCGTAATATTATAAAGAAAATAATAACTTAAAATCTGTGTCCAAGTACCTTAAAAAATCTTCATATGATTCTCACAGGTGCTAGTGGACTGACCCCCCCCCCTTAACATCCCAGACCCAAAGCTATTTTTTTTATTTCACTGTAAAATCTCAAAAGCTTCTCGAGATATTGCTAGAAACAAAAGTGTAACTGAAGGACAGAATTTTAAGAGGAATGGACAGACTGAAAATAATATCCCCAACTTTCGGGGGGGGGGGGGATCGACGCATAAATGGAAGTTTAGTGAATTGTGTTTTTGACATAGTTTAAGATATATGAGAGCAAGTTCCAGATTAACATGCCATTATAGGACCTATGTCCCCTCCCCCAACCCCTGGACTTTATATAAATCCGGGTTCAAAGGTATTTTTTTGGCTTTCTATCATCAATAACATTTACAATTTACAACATACAAAATTGATACCTGCAGTTAAAAAGTCAGAGTTGATTTAAAATACTACGGGCATGGATTTTTAGAATAAAAAGTGAATTTTATGTACTGTTTGATATGAAATACATTGTAAATGTATATTGGGGGTTGGGAAGTTGTTTGGTCTACAAGCACCTTGTGATAAGCAAATGTGTGCACATACTTTTGAAGGATGCCATGAAAACTAAGTGACAACCAAGTTTTCATATTATTCACACTTTTAAAAGTCCACATATATTATTGTCGGTATTCTGGAATCAATCTTTTTTTTATGTTTTACAACAGGATGGTGTATATATATTTTTCTTTACAAATGAAACAAGATATAATTTCAGTTATACTGTTTATATGTATATTGAACCTTCGGTCAAAATAACTCTGTGTGTGGTCAAAGGTACATAGTGTATCTTTTAATTTTATATTTTGACGAATAATGCATGGTTTACAAACAATGACATTGTGGAACATAACTTTAAGACAACGAAAAGAACTTTGCTAAGAAAAAATGCACCATCTTACATAAATGCATATTTTCAACCTTTTTTATAATTCACATATATGAACAGATGTACATGTGCACACGGTCGTATATAGGAACGGGGTTGAGGGGCTGGGGAGAAGCCCCCCCCCCCCCCCCCAATAACGAAGTCGATAAATAAACAATGTAATATTATAAAAAACTTAGCTACTTTATACTCGTGCCCACTCAATAAAAATAATCTCTCAATTTGGCTTCCCAAGGAATTTTTGGTAGTGACAGTGACTCTACACATTTGGTTGCCCCCCCCCCCCTAAACTGAAATCGGTTGCTTCAGGCCTTTACATATGTATAAAATAAAAGCAGCCCAAGATAATCTAGTTAAGATCGTTATTTAATACATCATCTAAAAAGATACTGTCTATCATGAATGCTCGTTTATTTCTTTGAAGTGATATTTTAATAAGTTTAAAAAAGAAAATCTCTCTCTCTCTCTCTCTCTCTCTCTCTCTCTCTCATTTTCTCTCTCTCTCTCTCTCAATACAAGACACTTTATGAAGTGCATTACCTATTTACTTGATTGCAGGGATTAATTTTTTTATTCAAGCCGTAAAAAGTAACCTTTCCGCATATGAACAAGGCGCACACTATGTAGTTTGTATACGTTTAATCACTGACGCATGACAAATGTGTTTCCTTATCCGTCTAAAGTTTTATGGTGAATTTTCTTCTATCTGTTCCTTTTTTTAAAACATTGTAAGTGGTTGCAAAAATTTTGACATGAGCAATTTTCAAATACAAAGTGGTAAAAACACTATCCGTTCTATTTAACACATATTCTTATTTCTTCCGATTTTAAACTTTATATGGGTACAATTACTTGTCCCGAAAAATCTATCGAGATACGGGAAGTTAGGGAGAGTTACGTTCGTTCATAAGATGTCGGTGTTTCTCTACTATGAGAAATCAACGGAAAAAATCGGTGACTTTTTTTTCCAAAAACTGATTTTATTTTTATTAAGCCGTTTTCTTATCTCAGAACTTAAAGACTTATGGAAATAGCATATTATAACTCACACTGTACTGTATGAAGTTTGGTCCTATTGATGAACAGTCACGTGATGAATGCATAGAACGTGTACTGAATTCAGGTCATGAACAAATTTCAATATTGCAAGGGCATACCCTAGTTTTTATTAAAAATTCAAGCTATTAATTGTTTACGTATACTTTGTACTTTCTGGAAAGTGCTGCTGCTTTGAATAGAATTCGTGTTTTAATAGTTAAATTTCAAGTAAATAGACCCATGTCGAAATAAGTTTGACTTTTACCAAATATTTCGTGTACTTATAAAGTCGCCCTCTCGATTTAAGGAAAGCATAACTACTTTTCAAGTTAAGGAACATATCCTTTATTTAAATAAAAAAAAATGGTTTAGATTTATTTAGTGTATTCCCTTGCGAAAGAAGGATTTAATGATGCACCCCGATGTAAAATACACCTAACCTGAACATGAAAACATGGCAAAATTATTTAAATACATTCTCCAGATAGTTAACGAATAATCGCACTGAACAATGGATATACATTGGTATTAATAGACTACTACTAATTAAAACCGGTAAATAACATTCTGTTTTATAATATACAAAACGCATTTTCATTGTTAGAAAATTCCTCAATCTGCCTCTCATAGCGCATGAAATACGTCACGTTCAACGAAATGACGTCATTATGACAAGTTCATCTAGATCATCGATCAGTTTATAGCCAGCTGTATAGGAATTAACTAGCACCTTTTTTCTAAATGCATTGATAAGTTTTATCATTGTTTCTTAATCTAATGTAGTTTAAAGTTGCAAATTATTTAATTTTCTGGTATTATAAGGAAAACATAAAAGTCATATTTTAGTGTGACGTCACAATAAACTTTTCCCATATTAATTAGGCCACGCCTCTTTATTTCAGCCTTTACAATGCCGCGTAATCATATTTTTCGCAAAATTTATGAAGTTCAACATATTTAACTTGTGTATGTTCTTGACACGTAGTTCGATTAACGAACACGTAATGCACTAAACTTTTTCTAAGATAGGTAAGATTACTTTAAAATAACTTTTACATACAAATTTTAAGCTCTTGTTTTGTTGACTTGTTTAATTACAAGAACTTGGGTAGATTTAGCTTATAAACTAAGTAAGTAAACACATATAGGGATAAGTCATGTAGCGATATTAGAAGTGTTTTTTCAATACTTCCGTAGCATTATGAAACGTATCGTTAAACGTCACCAACATCATGCAAAACACAGAAACACAAGCCTGGCTGTTCACTCGTACCAACACCAATCAGTTATGGCAGTTAATGTCAGAAAACATATGTAAACGAAAACAACGGACAAAAATAATGTTATCTTATGTTAAATACACAAATATTTCAATGTAGATTGTTAACTGAATGTACGAGATAAAAAGATGAAAGAGCACAGAAAACAATGATAACAGAAAACGTGAATAAACACGCATATTTGAAGTTGTGAACAAATACAGTGTATCATGAAAATCTCGATTTACAACAAAAATTGTGAAATTTAACATTGATTTAACATATTTTTTTCAATAAATATGAGTTTTTGATAACACAGAACTATCTAAATTGTTCTTTTCATTTGAGTACTAGAAATTAAAACGTATTACGTATACTTATACATGTAGTATTATAATAAATTCAATTCTAAGGGATCGTTACATTGTATTTCCACACAGCTTCTTCTCCATATGAGTGAACAATTCTCGAGAGGGACGTTAAACAATAAGCAACCGTACAGATTCTACGGAAAATTTCAAAAGTTTACGTTATGAATTGCAGCCTTTTTAAACACAAATGGAATGGAAGATTGACTTAAAAAAATTCGAGGTGTATCATTGAGATAACTTTGATGAGTTTTAAATTTTAAAGCTGAGGCCGTGTGTGTTTTGACGTATCGTCTGTTATGGTTTATATCAAGGTTTGATGACTGGATACTAATCATTCAAAGAGAACATCTAGATAAGTATTAGAATTACTTTGATCTATTTCTGGTGTATCAGTGGCACATTCGACTATCACATCATCATATGAAGACGATGATTTACTGGTATTTTCATTACATTCATCGTTTAAGTTGTCATCCGCTGTATACACTTCCGTATCCAATATTTCTATGTACGAATGCCGTTGTCTACTGATGTTTTCTGTTGAAATAACTGGGTCTATATAAGTTTCCAAAAAATTATTTTCACCTGACATCATAATGTTTGACTGAAAACCCCTTCTTGGCACAGATGGATTGTCCACCAGTTCTAAACATTCCTCAATTTCCTGATACTCTGACTCAACACGCTGATACACGTGGCCTTTATCCTTATTCTCTTCTAATCTGCTATACTGTTTTTTATCGACGTCCAATGGCTTACACGAGGAGTCAATTAATACGTTTATTTCATTGTTGTCTCCCATTTCTTCCTTTGAAATCGTTTTGTGTGAAGATTTTGATCTCACTCGGAGTTGTACAATGATAACTATCAGTAGAACAGCTAATATCAATCCTACACCCAGGATTGTATAATTACTATTAAACTGCCCCAGGGTAGTTCTAACAGCAGATATTTCTGTTGTTTGTATCTCTGATGATTGAAAAATTGTGCTGCTTTTCATTGTGATATATCGCTTTTCTGCTGGTGATATTGATGCATTTTCACTCTTTGTGATAGAGATAGGAAAGTAAGATTTTATCAATCTTGATGATGTTGATGGCGTTGAGATTTGTATTTCTGTCAGATTAAGTCCTTGATGTGATGGGGAAATAGATACTATGAAATAAGTTTAAAAATTATCAATTCATTTTAAAAGAGCCCTGTTATCTTTCAATTATATAAACAAATTCAATTAGCTTTTACCTGTTACTGCCTGTGTGGTATTAAGCTGGCTTATAAAAGGACATCCTGACACGTGGTCACACTCCTCTAGAGAGCACGTGCACTCCCCTGCACAGCCCCTGCCGAATTTTCCACGTGGACAAGGTACATCACAAAGTTTCCCAAAGTATCCAGGGGCACATACTAAAATAATATTTAATAGAAACTTATGCTCTTTTGAAATTTCTTGTTTTAATAACATGTAATATCATTAACATTATAAATCTTTGATATGCAAAATGCTTTGTCTCGGAAAATGACGCAACCATTAGTCTGTGGAGTACTAGAGATTTAGAATTGTACTCGCCAATTAAGGACTTTGAGAAGTAACGAAATTTCTTTTATAAGCTCTTACTACGATAGGATATATTGGTTTCTATCGTTACACAGTAGATTTAAACCCGCGAAATTTGAATAATTCTTCAATTATTCTTCAACTCTAGAACAAGCATTCTAAGAACTGTGTATGCAGGAGACTTTGTAATTTTAACAATGGAGAATATCATGATAGCATTTAAAGAAATCCACTGTGTCGTATGTAATTATTTAAACTGAAACGCAGGTATGTTAAGGTTACAATCAAAAAATCTAATTGCCTGTATGATTATAAGTCAAAGTAAGTTACATGTATATGACGTGAAATTAAGAGATAACAATTTTCTTAATCGATATCTAAGATTGATTTGAGGTCGTGAATTGGATCAAAATATGCACACGCATAATAAAAACGGAATTTTGTCCTTTCTGGGTCTCTGTATGTATCACAGGGACTAATTATCAATCCCGTGAGCTCATAACTCTTGATCATGCAGTAGCAGAGTGAAAAGAAAACGTAACAAGAATTCATGGAAACAAGCACAAGAAATCGTAGTTTCAAAGCATTTAGAATTAATATCATGTGTGTTTCATGTGGAAATAAACCTTATGATTATTATTAAATGATAAGGAATTTTGGTGCTCTCTGATTGGTCTAAACGCCATTTACTGGTGTGTACCTCAGAGTGAGTTCACCTCAAATGACGTCCTGGGAGGTTTATTCGGGTTTTCCCTCTCGACCAACCATAGATTTGCTCACAGCTTTTTCGACCAATCAGATTGCTTGTTTCAAAGCATGTGTCGGTGTGAATGTAAACATGTCAGACGCCATTTCCAAGGAGATTAAGAACTTTTGAAAATAAATGGTTGAGTATTTATTGTTTATTGATATTGTTTTTAACTTTTTAACTTATATTTGTTTATCTGTTGAAGTATATCAACATGTAAAAAGTGTAATTACACTTTACATTATGGATTTTTATATTTGATGGAGACAAGAATGAAAGAGTCAACAGTGTTGTAAAATTCCTCATCATTTAATAAAACGGTTATTAATAAACCTTATGATTAGTATATGCTAATATAATTCTACAATTTCTTCGTAAAACAAAAGTAACCTGTTCACCTGCAGATCTGCCTTTCCTCTGTCGTTCGTAATGAAAAAAAGATGCAAAAGTTCAACACTACACCGGATACTTTGAAACCTAATTTTTATTCATATCTGAAGTTCTTATTTAATTGTTTTTGGAAAGTGGTGCAAGAATCCTATGGTTTACGGAAATTGGAAAGGCTTCCTCAGAAAGTGTTGAATGATTATTTCTGTGATAGGACAGTAGGATTCTACCAGCACTTTTCATGAAACAGAGATGTTCTAACATAAATTTTACTAAAAATTTAAGTTAATTATCTCCGGGGTAGTGTTGAACTTCTAATTTCTAATTATAGACGTCACGTGGTAATGTCATGGTGAAGTGCTTCCTATAGTATAAGTTCCATTTAAGTCTATAGAATGCATAATGATAGGAAAAGTTTTATCCATGACTTCTCCGATTTATCAGTGCTATATGTTATAAAAAAGTGTTAATTCGCCGAATTCTGATCCATGTGTGCTTTAACAAACCGGCGTATTAGTCCAAACATATTCATTACAATAGAGTCAGAAATAAAACATGTTAAGAACTCTGATTTGTAATTTAATTCCACAAAATCAATTTACTAAATCACTTTTACTTTGTAACTATCTGTGTATCAAATAAAAAAATATCATAAAAAGAAACAATCTGAATAAAATGTGAGCATAAACAGAAAAAAATCGAAGGAATCATATTCCGCTGATTTTGGAATCTTAAACAGTTTCCTTAGCAGATTTTTTTTTTCGTTTCGATAGTTACGCTATTCAATATATACCTGTAGTCATGAATGTTTCCTGTTGGATTTAACTTTGTTGATAATTTAAAACAACAAAATCAACTAATTTTAATCTCCAACGGAATTTTCTGCTTTTACAGCAAAAACTTACCGTTACAATCCCCGTTCTTGTCTTTGTCGAAATTAGTACAACAGAAAGATCCTGTCACATTGCTGAAAAGAATATTTCAAATTAAAAATAGCGGTTTTCTAAGATTTTTTTTTAGATAGAATTACTGTGTATTAGGTTAGGTCCTTAAATGACATGGTGATTTATTTCTCCTTTATTACTCTCTTAATACTCTGTGTGGTGTATTTGAGCGCAAAAAAGATAGAAATTAAAGATAATTGTAGATTCACATGGCATTTATTATTTACGATCAAATTAGATATTTATCAGTATTGAACTTAAATATGTCCATGTTTCTATGATTTAATTGACCTTGTGTTCGGTAATTAAATCCTAGTAGGAAATAAATCTGTTATTGTTTGAAATATCCGATATCTATGAAATGCGATTAATTTGAATTGTGTAATTTACCGGAAAGCCCCGTCTTCATATAGAGTAACAAAACAAATATAGAGATCTTTTTAATTTAAGTTCATCTGAATTTATCAAAGATACATCGTGTATGAGAAAATTATGCATTATTTAACATTTTCATGTAAAAAGCATTTCTTCTTTATATGTAGCACACTTACGCATGTTTTATGCATGTGAATTTCATTCATCGTTTCTCTATCTTTCATGTGTTTATGGTTTAAAAGTTAAAGAATTAAATCTATTCTTACCTGTCTAAGATACAGATTGTTTTACTTATAATGCAGGAACAAGAAAATATTAAAAGCAGTCCAAAATATTGTAATACATAATAAAACAAACACATATTGATATTACATCTATAAACGCAATTCCAGGAAGAATTTGGAAATTTGAAACTTAGACTAACAGGAAGTCAAATACTATTTTAATTTTTTTCCTGTGGCAATTAATCATTGATTGTTAGAAGTGTTCCAATGTCATTAAATAAATCCGTATTCTGGTGACTGCGTACGGAGTCAATATTCACAAAAAATTTAAAACATTTTTATTAAAATTTATCATACTATGACTCAAACATTGCAACGGAAATGTCCATCATTTAATATCGCCCTTTATATGGTATTTTTTTTCAACTTATACACTGTAGTATCTGCATGAAATAACAGGTTTACAAGTGGGAGCCCCCCCCCCCCCCCCCTGCCACGAAATTGACATTCACTCAAAGACAAAAACTAGCCATTTTCCATTTTTGTTTTTTTTTAAACATTCGTTTCTTACGTTCATGTTGCAAGTACTCAACCATTACTGCAAATCAATCGAAAAAAGTCTCATGCCAGTTTTGTTTTGTTTTTTTTCAGAAGTCTTATTTTAATTGAGGTTGATAGCCTCACATCACCTAGATTTCTCCTGTCACTAATTAATCGATACATAAATATAATAAAGAATCCTCACAGATTTGATTAGTTAAATGCTTTTATTATTTAATTTACTTCACGAACTTCTTTGCTTAATTTATTTTCATGTTCACCCGATAACATGGTCACATTCAAAAATTGAAAAAGCTGTTTTTCTTATCTCTTCTTTTTAATTTTGTCTTTATACATATGTTTTTATTATGTCAAATTATCGGTCAAAAAAATGTTATATCTATTTATGTTGTTCTAGTTGTTTAAACAGAATAATTGTTTTTTTTTGTTTTTTTTTCTAAAAATTCTGATTTTTAAACTTTGTAACCAATAATCAAAACAAAAGAAGGCAACGTCAAAACATTAATGAGCTTTCTATTTTAAAGAAAAAACCATTGATTAATTTAGCTGTATAATAAATACGTCTATTGGTATAAAACTAGATACCAGATAAAACATGATAGATATGAATCAACCATTCCTACCAGATTAATTTGCCGATATAAACTAAGTGTCGTGTATCTCAGCTGGGCTAATTAAAACTGAGAGAATTCGACTAGACAATTTAACATCTGGAAGGGTGCGCCCTAGTATACATGTGTGTGCGTGGAGGGGAATGGAGGGGGCATTTCTTAATTTGCAACAGTTATATTCTGTATATACTTTTATATACCTTATGAACAACTTGACGCTTGTGTACATGTAATAGAAAGCTTGCCAAGAAGGGGATTCTTAGATCTATATTGATAATGGCATTTAAAATAAAACATCTATATAAGTAATAAAATATCATTTTAGAGTTTCATTGGGATGCAATATGAAGTCGGTCACTTGATCAAATCATGTAACCCCCAAAGGACCTTATAGTAGATTTCATCACGTGCCGGCTTCAAAGTATCTTCATTTCCAGGACTCGCAGCTGTAGCATTCCCACTGAGACAGATTTAGGCCCACATGTTGTCATAATGGAGGTTGCTCTCACTGAAGTTTAAAGGTGCGTAAGGAAGATAGACATGAATAATAGTGAGAGTTCTTGATATTTTTAGTATGATTTCAAATAAAATTTACAGCGGAGTCCTGACATAAACTTAATTTGTCGAGCCTCAAAACCTGCCTCGCTCCTGGCCGTTATAGCAGTTGCCCACAGACAATGTAATGGTGTGTGTAAACAATGGATCATTTAGCTGAATTAGAATTGTCGGTCATAAATACACTGAATAGACCATTACTAAAGGGGTTTGCTGCATTCCAGACTGTTACACTAGAAGCTGAGAAGGTAAAAGTCTCTTTCATCCATGTATTGAATAGATGCATGTATTGAAAAGAAAAAGTGCATTTTTTTCTGTTTAATCTAGGAGCAGTCCAAACATTTTTACTGGGAATGTCTCAATTTCACATGAGGAATACATGCTCTTGTCACTGGGAGGTTCCTTTTTATTTGGTTTAAAACATATTTAATTTATTTAATTCGATTGAAGAGCAGGCATAAATGCCTATCATCGTTCTCTCCATAACGCGCTTCCGCTGATGCTATTCCACTCCTATTTTTTCTTCTAAAGATCTTGAGAATTTATAATTTTTTGTGTTTATTTGGCCTAAAGCGCCAATTTTAATCATAAGTTTCAACTTTCAATTTAATATGTGATTTTTGGTCTTAAAATCCTTATCTCGCACAAATGTCTGAAATGTACGAGGGTCAATCAAAAATTACGTAGACAATGCTTCTCATCGTCATATAATTATTATAAGAATATAGACCAACACATTTTCGTAAGCATTCATTTTGTCAAATTGTGAAGTTTCATTCAATTTGATTAAATAGAACTCATATTAGTAAAAATTTAAACCAACATGTTTTGTTACCATGGAGCACGGTTAACCGGCATTGCAAGGTCAAAGACAATGTTGAGACAGTTTGTCAAAAGTATACTAAATGTTCTTGACTTCAAACACGGTTTGTAGCCTCTTCTTCATTCACAAAAGGATATCCATAACATTTTACACCTAGTCTGCGAACATTTGTACAAATTGAGCTTGAATAAGATTTGTCATTGTTATCGAATTCTTTGATTTACCACGAAACTCTATTAATTCTGCCACAGTGAAGCACACATCACTTTCAATGACGTTCCTAAGTCTTTCGACAATATCTTTAACTTTAACTGCTGTTATTGCAGATAATCCATCGTCCGATTCAAACTCGCTACCACTCAAAAACTGTATTTCCTATTTTACAAATACACACATTATTTTTCATACAGATCCTGGTTTATGCATGTACTGATTTTTTAAGCTTGTAGAAGAAGTTTCACGAATGTAAAGTACAATTTTATTGCTACTAGCTGCTCCTTGATGTCCTCCAACGTCATGTTTTTTTCTTCTTCTTTTTTTTTTTTGCTTTTTCTAACCAAGTTCATAAGTATTTAGAAACCGGTAACTTTTGTACGGAGCGGCATATTACATACCCTGAGTTCATTTCAATTAAAATGGCAATACTAATTTAAACATGTAAATTCTTTTTCGTTTCAGCTCCATTTATCAAAGGTGTAACAGTGGTCTGTAATAAAGTCCACTTAAAATTATCCCGGATTATCACGAGATACTAGATCTAGATCGTAAACAATAAAGAACAGCAACAATTATTCAGATATGATAGATGACTTCGATTTATTTAATAAATAGTATTTGATTAATCAACAAATAACAAAACAATTCAAGTAAACAATGAAATGCAAGGAAAATGTAGTCAAGTATTTAACTTTATAGATAGATTCAGCACTCCAGCAATCGGAATTGACCGAATAATATTACGGTAACAATAATTATATGTTGATAAATATATAAATTGGTGACAAACTCCTAAAAACGTCTAAGTCTGGAAGTTAAAAAGAACGAACTGATAAGGGACGCGGAACGGAAACGCCCGGATCCCAGACGGTGGCACCGGTTGTCAATGACAACCGCGCACCCCATCCAAGATCCAAGAGAGATAACTCTAATTAAAATATACGACTCCACTACATTCCCCCACCTTAAGACCTGATGTCGAAGACATAAGTGTCAAGATTTAAAGTATGCATTTATATCTCATCAATATATTAAAACAATAAATATGCAAATAAATACATCACTCAAGTCTCTCTCTCAAAAATATGAAGAGTACTTATGTAATTATACATATACATACTGCATAATTATATAATGCAGATACTCGCTCCAATAGTTAAAACAATCAACAATTTAAGTTAATCCGCAACAACAAAACAACAGATATTTATGTAATAAATTATATCACATAAGGTTAAACTCTATAACAATATGCACATATATCATATTTCTGTATCAACTATCAACACATTGTCACATAATGATACACATAATTGTATACTATTTATCTGTATATATATATTCAGATATACATACAATAGAAAATAATACTAATCACAACATTGTCTTTAAATTTTAAGCACAAATTCAAATGACAAATAAATAATTTGTTAAAACTATAACTATAGTTCTCGACACAACCTTGTGCAAACTGTCCATGCACATATAGACACGGTACGACTGTCTGAATCAGAATCACGGGAAATAAAGTCACTGACACACTGGCGGAATTAAGGCAGAAAAACGTGAATAACGTGAAATTTGGAACGAGAAAAGTCCGGCCAACATCAAGGTAAATATGAAATGATAATGCAATGGGAATATATAATGAATTCTCGGATAGGACAATGTACATGTATATATATGTAATTTCAGGAAAACACAGGAAGAAAATATGAAAATGGAATAATGAAAACATGAAGATGATGATGAATGACATATGGTAAGATAAGTTGAGGTGACATACATATATAAGAACAAAAACCAACATTTATTCTTTAAAAATGTTGTAAGGATCTAGTACAACTTTCTTACCAAGACGGTTAGACAAGCTATTACTATTTCTTCTATAACAACTCAAACTGCCGTTCGCACTCTAAACCATCTCCAAACGTTCGTCTCTAGAAAAATATGCATTCTCACGCTCACTCTCACCCCTCTTCAAACTGTCGATCTCACTCCTCAGTCTCCTGTTCTCTCTCTCTCTAACTCTCGTCTCTACTCTCTCTCACGCAAAAGCTCACTCCTCTCATTTAATCTTGCATTAGCTACCTATTTCTTTCAATTTAATCAAACGTTCAATTTCGAAATAAATATCAAATATAAACTGTTCTAACTTCTGTTCCTCAACAGGGACGGAATATAACGAATATGGTGAGGACTCCTTGGTTTGGCTAGCGGTTTCGGTGGAAAACTGTACTGGATGAACGTCTGGCAAGGTCGCAGATGACACAACGGGCGGAGCAACGTACGAAGGAGGCAAAGATGAAATGAAGGATTGTGTTTCAAATATAATGACAGAAGGCAATGACGTGGCGGATGGCAGACAGGATGAACTGATGATAGAGGAACTTACGAAAGAAGCAGATGAGGTCTCAGGTGCCTGTGGCAGTGCGGATTCCAGGGTGCTGGTGGTCGGTGCAACTGAGAAACGAAAAACAAATTTCAGACTGCCAGGATCAATGTAATTACTATTCGGTTTGAGTTAATGTTGACACAGCTGGAGATGATTCTCTAGAGACAGCTGGGACAAGTGATGAATACTGCGGACGTGGAAACGCATATCTGGCTTTTGCTTGCAAGTAGACTTACATCCTGGGATGGAACAATAGAAGATAACATGATGGAGCTTGTGCTTTGTCTCCCAGTGCCTGGCATAACTTTCCCTGGTGGTAAAGGAGGTAAAACCACAGGACACTACTGGATAACTCATTCCAGAATGGAACTCAAAGGAGCAGGATGAAGATTCCAGAAGTTCCGCAAGATCCTCATCGTGGACCAAAAGGTCAAGGACATCAGTTTTCATAATTGACATGACTATATAAAGTGGTGGTGATGACAACGATGATAAGGATGGGATCAAACGATGATGATAATGATGATGATGAAAATGTTGTAAGGATGATCCAAATGAAACTGTAAATAAATAAAAACATAGTTTGAGGAAATAGCAAACATGTTGCTTACCATTTTAAGTATATGTAAACACTAATAAAGTGTATTGTATATTTTCTTTAACAAAATTTCCTGTGAACAAAATGTATAACCCCAAAGGAAAAATCTATGAAAAAAGATAGGGTTTAAACAGAACTACTTAATCCAGTAAGAAAATAACATTTAGATAGTTTTTATGCAAAAAATAGAATTTTAAAGCGCAAATATATTTTAAGTATTATAGGTATTTTAAGCGTGTAACGCATTACATTTTTAGCAAGTGAATCTAGAATTCTCATTTTCCTTTCAAAACTAGAGTTATCCGTTTTGTTGGTGACTGTATTTACGATTTTGCATTAAATGTTGGCAAGAAATAGAGAACGATAGTTTGTACAGACCAAGAATCTGTAACGCTTTTAATTGAAAACGTTTATCAGACATAAATGTTTTCATTATTACAGAGTTTATAAGTTGATATAATATTCATCTGTTCTATGATCATGTACTTAATTTTAATACCTCTGCAACATCCTCCAGAACATTCAGTATAGATGGTGATGTTGCTGTCGGTGCCGAACTTATCCGTCCATGTGTACACAAAAGCCTTCTTGTGCCCATGGGGGAGAACCTCTGTAACATGGTGGTTAACTCTGGTCAAATTAGCATCTCCCTGTGTAAAAAAAATGTTGGTTAAAGTGGTTTGAATATTTTTGTTTAGTTCTTTAATATCCTTACAATAAAAACACTTAGCTTTCTTTATTTTTAAACAACAAATTATTTTTTAATGTGTACAGAGTGAGGGAAAAATTATTATTTGTTAGTATATTAAATGTATAATTATTGACCGCCAGTATTGTGTTATCATGTCGAAATTAAGTGTATAATGTACATTCAAATTGATGTTATGCACATTTGTCATTATTACCGGTAATTAAATTTGCCATGATAAAACAGCCCAGGTATTTATTTTTTGGGCACCTTATTTGTATTTTACTTCCTTTGAGTTAAATGTATTTTACTTTCATTGAACAAAATGCTTACTGGCGACTAACATACTAATTGTCAGTCCATTATTTATACATTGAATTTGCGACGGATTTTTTTTTTCGTTATTTTCTGATCATGACAAGGAGCACAAGGCGTGTGTGACCGGTCATCAGAGGATGCTCACTCTTCCATGGGACCTGATCCCACCTCTGATGTTTCGAAGGTCCGTGTTTTCTCTGCTCCTATTTTGTATTGTTTTATGGACTTTGAAATTAAATACTGTTCATTATCTCCATATCCTCCTTTCTTTAAAAAAATCCGATCTGGTCTTAATATCGTTCGTAAATTCTGCTATTTTTTGTTAGTCATAAAAAAAATGCCTAAAATTTTAATGCTTTTATACAGTGTATATTATATATATTCTAGTTACAGATTTTGAACTTTAAAAGTTGTTTAAGGAATGAAGCTTATTTCAACTTATGTTATCCGATATTACATAACTTACGCTTTTCAAACTGCGAAGTTTTGTTATATCGGATAACATAAGTTGAAATAAGCTTCATTTCTTATAATTTAATTTCAATGTAGACAATGAGACAGTATTTCCTCCAGGAAAAGGCTTCAAAGTAAGGATTATTTTAAAAGTAACGTCAAGCGGAGTGATACGTTGTTGACGTAACTCATTGTGACGTAGGCAAGTTATGTTATACGAAATAGATAAAACTCTTTAACCAATCAAATGACACGTTAAAACTGAAATTAATTTATTAATTAATTATTACAGAGAAAGATGCATTTTAATAAAAAGGTATCAGATAGGCAGGCTTGTTCCCCGTGTTTTCCGAAGAAAAAAGAATCTCAAACATGATAAAATTTTACCAGTATTGAGGAATTTTGGGAAAATGATCTACTTCTGTACCCTCCAGTGGCTTCCATGGAAGCCTTAAATCCAAAATATTGCTGGTAAAAATGCAAACATTCTTTTAAGTTCTTCATTACAAATTATTACAATTTTAATAGTCATCTGATTTTTACCTCAATTAAGGGGTCATATTTGGCGGTTACCCTTTTTTGTATTTTTTTTTTCAAAGTCATGGCAAAGAAGCCAAATAGACATGGTCTGTGTACTTCTCTTACAACTCTCGTAACTATATTAATACTAGAAAACAAGGAATATATCAATAATGTTAATACGCATAACCAAGTTGTATAGAAGCGGAAGCAATTGAATGGGATTGGTGTTCAGAACGAAGGCTCACAATGAATGCAGCATTGTATTGTTGAGGAAGTATCAGGAAGACTTTCCTGTAGGGGATAGTTTGATTTTGCACGGGAAGAAGTTTAGTTGACAATTTTTCATGGTCATGACTATGTAACATTATAACTGTCGTAAATTTAACTTGGTAACCTTTTATTACTAGACTAATGAAGGAATGAATTACCCCCCCCCAAATGAAATTGGTTATATAGTTGGTTACAATTATCTATGTAAACTCGTTGCATCAACAAAAATCAAGAGCTTCAACACGCTTAAAAAGTTGACATATAACTTTATTAAGTCAAAACACATTTCATATATATGAAAACAATTTAATCTTTTTTTTAGATATAAGATAAGACGGTTAAATTGTTTGACACATACACATGTTTGTGTCAATGAATTTTTAAGAATTGTTTTAGTTTGTAATACTTCAAAATCATATTTCAATTTTTTTTTTTTAAATTTCATGCTTCAAAGCCCAAAATTTAATTCGATTCATCATACTTATACTGGATTCCTAAATTATATTAAAATATTTAAAACATGGATAAAATCGGATTTCAATTCATTTTCTACGATACCTTTCTTTACTTCGCACTAAAATATTCAGAGTAGTGAAGGAGCACTGAGGAACAAAATAATCAAAAAGCGCAAATCAGATGTTTGTACTTTTCAACACCAAAGAACCTTTAAAAATTGAAATCTCAAAAATACCAAAAGCAATTATAGCATCTTAACGTAAAACATTGAGAACACTTAATGCATTCCTCCTCTATGTTACATGTAAGATTTCTAGGCTTTTTCTTTTAATAAGTGCAGACACTATCACATACCTGAAAGCTGTTTTTCAACAAAAATGAAAGGGTAAATCTAGTTACTAGTTAACTGTAAAATCAGTTTGTAAAATAAACTTTTTGATTTTACAAACAAGTTCATTGACAATTCAGAAGTTAATATTAAAAATATAACAAAACAGGCGTTTTTTTCATGTATTTAATACAAAAAAATTGTTAGCTAAGAATGTTTCTGAGAAAGAAAATTGTCCGAGTTTAAATGCCTCTAGCAGGGATTGTTAAAACGTTAGTATTGATTCGTGGTAGGGCTTGATACGCGTACAATTATTATGATTACAAAGAGCACGACCCCGATTGCCAGAGAGATGATGACAAATAGGCGCGCGCGTTTAGACTGAACTTCCGCTTCTAAAACGTTTCCACTGGAAGCCGCTTCTTTTGCCTGTAAATTATCTAAAAAATCTAATCCATTTATAATCTAACATGTTATTTAAAATTATTTCGTCTCTTAAAAAAATTATATATAAGACTACGATAGAAAAAATTAAGGAAAATGTTATAATAAATAATGACAAATAATCTCTTTTTAGCATCAAATAAAACTTTTTTTTTTAAAAAAGGCCTAAATATATTTTTCATTCGAGTAAAGAAGCCTTCATCAGTGACACATTTTGCTTTGTTTTTTTTTTAAACGAGTTTGGCTGGTTTAATTTAAAATTTGGTTTATCAAGCTTCTATCACAAATTTAATGATAATCATGGCTATGGTTCACAATACACTTACCCTGTATGCGGAATAAATAGCGACGATTCCGGTCGGCCAGAAACAACACAAACATGTGAGTATAGCAGGGACCATCCAGTTCCTCTGGGGAGGCTGAGACACGACGACCGTGGTGGGGACAGGCTGTGTGACCTTAAAAAGAAATCAAACCAGTGAAACCTGTGTAATCCAACATGATATGGAAGATAAATTCTGTGTCAGAGTGGGAGGGTGTCGAATTGCACAGTGTAAAATTACATGCAAATTTGTTAATCTGGAAAGAAATCTGACGTCAGAATTCACAGTGTGACGGATTGAGCATGTGTCGTATTACACTGCGCTGTGAAACCTGTCTTATCCGACATGCACTAGGAGACAAATTTTGTGTCGTAATAGACAGGATGTCGGATTGCACAGTGTTAAAAACAAGGAAAATACTAAAATGGGAAGGAAAGAGTTAAAGCCACGAACCATCGAAATATGCCTTAACTAAAAACTCAATGAGAAGTTCAATAAAGATAGTGTAGACTTGTAGCTTTTCAGAACTGTTTTCCTTTTTAATTCAAGGAGAGACTTGATAGTATGGCATTGTTTTGAATGAAATTTACATGAGGAACGTCATTATTTGTAACGTAACGTCATAACATCGTAAAAAGTCCTTTGCAATAGAACATTTTACAGTAACTTCTTACATTTGTAAACACGAGCGTTACAATTGTTTTTTTTTTTTTGTACATGATGCAGTTTTAAAAGAATTTAATACTTTAGACATATGTCACTGCATTATATAACAAAAGTATTATCTGAAATAGTTATACATATATTACCAGGTATTATCGTAGTCCGCTAGATAATATTGATATCCACGCATTTTGATTTAGATTTTTTTTCTTTTTCTTTCAGGTATTTATCTTGTCCTGTAAGCAAAATTAAACAGTGCACTTTTTTTATTTGATTCACTATCTTTAATTCTCATGTTCTATATTGCTATCGCCTCTATTTTGTCTTGGGGGGGGGGGGGGCGTAAGACATGCGTTTTAATCCTTTTATCTTAAATTATATTATTGT